TATTTAACCTCTTCAGAGACGAATTTATTAAGATCAGAAAGAATATTTTCTTCATTTCTCGACTGAATTCGATTAAAATATATTTATAAATATTAGCGACAATCAATTGGAAGAATTTCTTTTTTCGTTGCTGAATTTCCTAGTGAATATTTAATTACAGTTTCGGAATGATGCTTAATCGAAAGGAACACTAAACGTACACGTACGTGCCAGTGTCCCTCAAAAGGTTAATTCACCCAGCTAAACTGGCCCATAAACTGTGTGTTATAAGAAACAGTGACAAAATGTCTAATTTATATTCTTCTTTTTTAGATGAAGCTTCCTATAGCCTTTATACGAAAATCAAACATCGAATTTCGAAATACGAATAACGATCAAATCCTCAGTAAAAGAAGCATGAAATAACAAAAAGTCCAAAACTGCTATTTATCGAGATGTAAACGATATATAATAAATTACAATAGAAACGTACAAAATACAATTCTACCAATAGTATCGAAGAAAAATAATAAAACTTGTAAGTCTCAATCAATATCTACTTTGAATTTCATACATGTATCTCACTGCTTTTCTTTATTCAGAGTCAGACCTCTTTTAAAAACTGAGTTTTAAAACACTTTCTTTCCGTAAAGTAATTTAAGCTGATCAAGTTAAGTACTGTATAATCTCAGGGATACAGAGAAATCCACAAACAATCTTATACTTTTAATATCAAAATAAAAGATCACATCATTTTTAAACGTTCCATTCTTCTAGTACGTAAACGGATTTTTGGAATCTTCATGCATCTACAAAGTTTCTTTAAAACACTAATATAACCCATTGATTGATTTTTCTTATAGGACATTCATACCAGTCTATCTGAATACACAAGTTCATGGACAATTATTGCAAAACATTGAGAAGATTCAGATTTACTTCATTTTCTATAGCAACAGATAACCAAATAGAATATCATATCTAACCTTCTTGGTTATGCTACTCCCGATAGATGGTTTTACGTTCTTAATGTCCTTATGAACAGAGACTCGCGAGTTTGATGCATCCGCGGCGTTCGTCGCAGGGATTTCGAAGGAAGACACGTTACTTCTCGTCGAGGATCCATCGTTATTCATTGCCACGTTCAGAATATCCACAACACGGTACGCGGAAAATAGACACTGGCCCCGTAAGGTTACTTGTCAATTTTCACATTTTACGGTTTGACATTATTTGCCCCTTCTCTACGACCGTCGTTTTTCCACGGATACCGATTTCGTTGTTTTCCTTCGCTCGTATTTACTACTCGGTATTTAACATTAAACCTGCAACTACCGGTCAAATGACCGGTTTTACCGTTTTAATTCCTATCTCTCTGAAGGGTTCGGTAGGTTTAGTGTTAACCCTTTCGAGACTGACGGGACAACACGTCTAAAGGTGACTTTCACAATGTCTACTGAAATATATGCTCTAAAATTCAATTATTATATTTATCTTAATAAATAACGTTTATTGTATAGTTATATAAATATATTTATAAGTATATTAATAAAGATTATAAAGGAAAGGGTATACTGATTGTTTGCCAGCCGAAATGGAAAAACGGACGGTATGTTCAAGCTGTAGAGTTGAACTCTATATTAAATGTTTTACACCTTACAATTCATAATGTTATAATTAATTACCTTATTCTATTAACCAATTAGTAAGAAATTTCAATGAACAAACTCATTTTTCAGGTGTTATAATTTTTTTCTGTCAACTCAATGGTAGATCAACATTTGGTCACATCAATAGAGACTTTTGGGGATATATGATCCCATTGTGAAGTCCAATTTTTTTCTTCACATTTGAGTGTATTGTAGCGAGTACTATTATATTGTTGAGTTCATTGTTAAAAAAAGCCGTCTCGAAAGTGTTAAACACAGTACCTATACTACTTGAAGAAGAATATTCACAGTATAATATACAGTGAATAGAAACAATATTTACACATCCGTCTACCCCATACGTATAACATACGTTGCATATTTACTTAATGTTGATGTCAGAATTAACAATTATAATTTATGTTAGTATAAACCTTGATTTACATACTTGAGGCTAGAATGCATTCAACTGAGAAATTATTATGATCGTTTATATAAAGTTGTTATTTCTGGACTTTACAGAAAAACGTTCGTAAAAAATCAGTTCAATTTATGCATAACGGATTAAAGCTAATAATAAGATCACCTACGTATCCGATAAAGTATTAACTTATTATAAACAAGTTTATATGATATAAATATTGATTTTGGAGGAACACCAATGATGTTAATATATGCACACTTGAAGTAAACTATGCATAATTTCTCTATTAATTTATCAAAATTTATATTAAGATAAAATATAAATAATATTTCTAACATTACATACTTTCTTGAGTAATTGTACATACACAGAATCGAATGGTAAGTAGGTATTTAAAAGATTGGCTCTGTAATTCGGATTGAAAGCCGAAAATTTGTTAAGAATCTATTCCAAATAAAGTATTACCTAAATTGCTATTGCTTTTTCTCTTCATTGAAACATAATTATACGACTAAAAAAATGATTTATCATAATACACAGGAGATAATTGAACCGTGTGAAAACGGAGTACTATTGTGCTATTCTTGAAAACTTTCTGTTAAATCGAACTATAACAACAAATGAAAGAAATTTACGCTTGTTGAAAGCTTAAAGTTATTCATAATTTAAAAAAGCAACACCGATGTATAGAAAAACAACCTCTTCTTCTTAAAAAATATTGTTCTTCTGCCAGCACTAGAAGAAAGTAGTAAAAGTAAAATGTCAATTATAAGTTTTTGAATTGTTTAGAACGCGGAGTTAAAAAGTTCCGTGAAAAACGCGTTAAAAGTTGAAACGTTCACACGTATACCAAAAAAAATTAGAAAGCATGTATATATTTCCAATTTGCTGTTTATAAGCGATAAAATAAACCTTCCACTTCATAAAATCCATTTTTCTCTAATTTTCTAAATTGTTCTCCCCTTTTTGAACAAGTTTTTACGTTCGTCTACCCTGACTTCTGAAATTTTCAACACTTGCGAAATTGTTATGTTTCTTTGATCGAACAAAAACCAGAGCATCTAAAGAAACGCTGCATTGATGATTTTTGCTCCGTTTTACATGCGTGTAGAGGCAATTTACTATACAAGTGCACTATAACTGTGATTATTGATCAATTAAATTATCAATTAAGTAAAAGTTAAACCGTTGTGATTCCGTTTTGGAATACTTTGAATACCCATATTTAATCTTGTTATCGATCTAAACTAAATTTATCCGCATTACACATTTAAAATTATTGATAAAATGAAGAAAAATTTTTCGATTTTGTGAATTAGAAATACGGAGTAGTCCCATTAATATATACCTTAAAACATGACTATAACAAAATGTTATTCCGTATGAAAAAAATATTGTGAACATATAATACTTTCTACTTAAATATCGTGTAAATGTAACGTGTCCCAAGCGAGTATTTATAATACCTTTGAACCATAGATTAGTCCCTTTTTACTATATTGAACCTATAATAGTCAAAAGACTGACTTTAAGTCAATAACCGTAGGAAGGAATGTACTTTCGAAATTTCTATCTCGAAGTGAAATCTTCGTGACAGAATGTTTTGCACGAAATAACAGAGAACAAAACCGTTCATTGTTGCTGGAAGAAATTGACAATTCGGAGTATGTACACTGGTTTAGAAGACATGGCGATGGAGGAGGCAATGATTGTGGGACGCTGACGTATCGCCGTGTCATTCGAGTAACGATTAACGAGAAACAATCCGCTTACCTGATAAGTGTACGGTGCACAGGATACGACAAATTCTCTGCTCATAATAGAAGAAACTCGTTGCGGTTGTAAAATCCAGCTGATGGATTTTAGGCAAGTGTCAAAATGCCGGTGGCGCCATCTTGAACTCGTCTGGAGTCGAGGTCGTCAAGCTGTCACGAGGAAAGATTCTCGATTTCTCGCGAGCACAAGTGCCATCCTTGGCTCTTTCACGCTATGATGGAATCACGCTTGACTCACCAGGACTGTACGCCTTCGTTAAAACCCCGAAACGTTACGAGGAATACGAACAAATCCGTTGTCAGACCACAGTACAAGTCACCAACACACAACACACTTTTCACGCTGTTATCAGGAAAAATGATCCATCGAATTAATCACCAATGCTTCCTATTGGACGGTATCGTTACGAATGCTCGGAGAGTCAAATGGCGCACACCCAAACACTTCTTATGAGCCTTCACGGTACTTTTATACGATACGGATTACGGCATTATACCACTTTACTACGCCATTTTCAGTGTGCAGTTTCCAATCCGACTGCAATACGAACGATCTACCACTCGCGTCTACTGGCAAGTGCCGACTGCCGCCAATCACGATCACCAAACGAGTAATAATCATGGCGACTTAGTGTTTGCGGAACTAGCGCCACCACTGAATTCGTTTGAATCACAACATGACCCCTGTCGGTAACGTAACCTGCGCCGACGTTTTTTCTTCATTTTTGTTTCTGCGAACCCATATCTATATCTTATTTTATTTATTAATTTGAATAAAGTGATCATGAAAATACGATTTTGGAAAAAAAAACTTTACATTTTTCTTTCCTTCAAATAGATTGTTCTCGTGACTTGGTGCGAAACGCTCGTCAAACATCTTCGATCGGTTAAAAATAAACTCAATGAAAAAGTTTCTGAGCGACCTTGAAGTCGAAAGGAGTTGTGTAATCTGAATACTTCTTCTAAATTTTATACTTGCAAATATATATATATATATGTAATTACAATGTCGAGAGGTAAGCCTGGATTTGTTACTACTTCATAGCATTTTGTAATAATCATTACTCCAGCGTACAGTACATTTTGTGTTTTTGACAGAATATTGTGTATGTTCAACATGAACACAACTATAAATTGTAGTTTTGGTTTGATGTCATTACAAATAAACAATAACTATTTACGGTAATCGTCAGATCTTGAGCAAGTTCCAACTTTTGGGCAAGTTATTTTACATTTTGTACTCCCCATGCTTGTCTCTCCGCGCGGTGGGTACTTTGAAGATGGATGCTTCTTTTTTATTTGTGGCTCAATCACTATATTTCGGGGTATTAATATGTCATTCCACGGAATTTCAACGTCATTGTTGACACAAGCTTCTTCTGGCGGTGCTTGTATCTCTATCGGTTTCTCGAGCACAAGATCATTCCATGGAATCTCTAATGTGGAATCACAGCTTTCAGGGTTTGCCAGAGTTGATTGTACGATTTCGGTAACTATTAAATCTTTCCATGGTAGAGCCATAGTGCCCAGAGATTCATCTTCTATAGGCTCCTTCCCAGTATCCTCTTCAACTAACTCCTGGTGAGTATTTAAAGGAGTCAACGAATCCTCTTGACGAATTTTCATGCCAGCTGACGGTAATGCGATATCTCTCCATGGCAATTCGATTTTTGAATCACATAATAAAGACACACATGAGAATTCTTTGCGTAAATCCCTCATGTATGGTTCGTGATACATTTCTTCCTCCGGGTTGTACACGAGTGTTTGCCGTTTCCTCTTACACTGTTCTTTATTCTTCTGTTGTGGCTTCTGAAATTTCTGCCTAACGCAGTAACATCCTTTTACTTTCCTTCTTTCTTCAGTCATAGTAATCAGTTATTACGATATATGTATAATGTATAACAATATTAAGATGTAAATATATGTTACGATGATACTTGTCAATTTTCTGACATTGTCTAACCTCGTGGGTAGTTAATATGGACATTTTTTTGTTTTGTTTTATTTTGTTTTGATATACATACAAAGCATAATATTGATATAGCCTAATTATTTGTAAATTGCCTGTCCCTTACAAAAAATGTTTAACATAATACAAATTTCCAATACAGTAGACATTTGTTTCCTGCACTAGTCGGGGCTCTAGAGGGCCAGAATTCCAGGAACCGTACAGGAATCGGTGGCCAGTTACCCGAGCGCTTTCCCCACCACTCGGCCGTTCAGTCGTGCGACACAGCTACATATAGGGTGGGCTGGATATGCGCACTTTACGGTTACATTAATTATCTCCGTTATTTTTAGAGATGTCAGAAAAGTTTATTCACAGAAGTTGTTCAGTATGAAGAGGGCTATTATTTAGCAGTAACAAGTTTTTCGTAGGTGGATTATCTTGTAAGTTTTCAAAGTTAATTATGTTATATTTATTAATGATATTGAAATATTATAGAATACAATACTTTTATTACATAAATCGATTCTTCCAAACATTCTGCGTAATAAAGTATTAAGGTATTATGTGAAAAAGGTAATAAATCGTGACATATTTTAGTAGCAAATATCTAGCTTGGTTAGCATCTTTTACCCATTATGTGTGATCCGCGAGACAAGAAGCAATCAAATTACCACCAATATTCATTGCACCAATAAAAACATTATTAACCCTTTACACTCGGAATTTCTAATTTTCGATTCATTTTGTCGCCTCAGAGGCAACAGTCGAGTGCAAAGTGTTAAAACAGTATTATGTACATTTCGCTTTCTGTGATGAGATATGCGTGTTAAACGCGACACCGTATATGTTCCGGCCTGAGCGTACTGGGCGACAGAGTAGGGTACACGCACATGTGTGAGAAATACGTGTAAGAAAGGGGCGTGGCTTCTGTACAGATAACGGTGGTGCAGGAAACGAATGTCTACTGTATTTACGATTTCTTAACTTATGATACCATTATAGTCCTTTAGTTTCTTAAAATTATATATGTTGCAGAATGTGAATATTACTATTTCAAACTTCCTGTCTGGACTTTTTCCTTGAAAATATGTATAATTTAATGATTTAGGAAACGTATGAAACTTGTTCGGACATCGTTGGATTGAACAAGTGCATAGGCACATGGATGCGCATGTGTACGTATATGTATAAAGAAATATGAATACAATCCGTTTCAATCACACAATTGACGAATCGTTCGTACTTTTCATCGCGACATCTACCGACAAACCGGGGTATAATGTTAAAAATCCACTAGTTGCCGATAAAAGGAAATCCGTGGTGGCTCTGCCTTAATTCACAATATAAGATCCAGGAATATGTACAAAGACACCCTTCTTTTCTGAAATGTCTACATTATAAAATTTAGTACATGAAATAAGCATAAGCACAATCGAAAATACTTTACTTGAGTACCTGAAAGACACTGAAAGAATACTCAATAGTGTTTGATTTGACGCACGCAGTAGGACTACGTTTAGAAGGCAGCCATCTTGCAATCCCTAATCAAAGATCTTCGGCTAGCGGCTATCGCTGTCTGGTTTTCAGCCAGTTAATATCAACACACAGTTCATCAAATGGCTTTAAAACGAATTAATAAGGTACGTGGATGGTTAGCGGTGTTCGTTTTGTACAAAGACAGTCAGGTGTTGATGTGATGTGTGCCAAATGCGGTTGAACGCCCTTAACGATTTTGCAGTGAAGCAATGTGAGCCAGCATTGAAAATCATGCTGGCTTTTCCCAATTTTTTTGCATTCTTCGATTGTGCTTTGATTTACTTGAGTACGCGTTTATCTCGACACAGTGCATTGCGCACGCAGCACAGTGCCACTTTGTGCCAGTGAATGCATCTAAGGTGACAGTGAAAATCTAAAAAAATTTTAAGTGGCTAGCCGATAAATTACCGGAAGTAACGTAAAACCGTGCGTTACATACATCTATATACATATACATGTATGCATAGAGCTATAGATAACTCGGAAATTACGAAAATTTCATTAGTGCATTTATACTCCATTTATGGAACGAGTTGGTACCATCATTTTTTGTGTGACCACTGCCATTCATTTCGATGCATATCATGATTCTCACCATGTGGCTATAGACCACGTTAGTGTGACAAACTGAATGATTCAGGACTGATATAATTGTACATGTTGCATGCCAGAGATTTAGCATATCAGTTATTATGTTTTTCATTAGTCATATCATGATTCATAGTAGAAAGATAAAAGAACGGAATGTTTTAAGTGTAGCACCTTTCGAATGAGCACCTAGAATTCCATAATTTACTGTATTCTTATTCTGTTATCAGGCAGCACAAATAATACACATAGTTTGTATGTATCACTATATATATATTATATATATATTATATATACTATATATATATTATATATATAATATATATTGAATAATAATTAATGTAACTGTTTCATTTAATTACGACGACTACTCACATTTACATTATTATAATGTATAAGCTAAGGTTCTTGTACTTTTCCTTCTTATTAATTTTACTTAGCCTTAAGGAATTCATTTATATATACCTTATGTATGAATGAATCAGTTTAAGTTATGCTTTTAAAATATGTATTGTAATATGTATATTCATGTATCTTATAATGTATACATATATAAGAATGTTCTAGAATACTTTGTTTACTTCTGTAGTTAACATTATATTTTCATTCAAATCTATATATACAAAGGTCTTCACTTAAAGGAATATGATGCAATGCGTGATATAGCCATTTTGTAAAGTATATATTTGTCTAAACGAAGCACTATTTGAAAACATCATAAGTAGGTTTTTTAAGCTTAAAAATATGAAATAAGCACAAAAGAGCTGAGGCTTGAATTATTGATTAAGATATCTATGTACCTATAAGTTGTAATTAAGTAATTTTTCATTTAAATTCTAAGTAGAACTTTTTTTCTTACTCAGGAACTTCAGGACCTTGGTAGAGATCCACCGGCGCAATGCTCTGCTGGTCCTGTAGGAGATGATTGTAAGTTTCTTCATTATGCTATCAATAAATATTAAAATAATTTATTGTATGCATTTGTAGTGATTAAAATATGCAAAATTATAATTTTTCATCATTGAAGTATAATAATACTAAAGTTCAGATAAATACTCTATATTTTATTAATTCACCATTTACATTTTTTAATCTTCTTTAACAAAACCAGAAGCTTGCTATTTGAATATTTTGTTGTAACTTACTATTTTCTTTTATCCTCATAAAAACACATAATTAAATATAATTTCTTTATTGAATCATATAATTGCTTTCAGTATTCCATTGGCAGGCAACTATTATGGGACCAGTGAGTATACATTCATTTTCATGTTTTGTTTCACATGAATTAATTAATATTAATCAGTTAAGAATACATGTATTTCTTAAAAATTTCATAGTAATGTAAGCATAAATATAATTTGTGAGTATTATTTCCATATATTTTCGCTTTCACTCTGATCACTAAAGGTAATTTTCCAGTAATGAAATTTATGGTGTACTGTGTGTAATTAATAGTTTTATTTCAAAAACATAACCTAATGCATGTACCATGTACTTTAATAGTTTCACAAAAGTTGAACTAATTTTCACTTGTGTGAAGTTGTATACTACAGTTCCACTTTAAATAATATTTATATCATGGATATTTGTTTTTGCAGTTACATTTAATTATTTTTATTGTTGACTTTCATTGATACTATAATGTAACTTACCAATAAAGTATAATAAATTGAGAAATGCAATTTATGACTTTATTGTTTTATTTGTTTTAACATTTCATGAAACATGACTTTATGTATTGTCAAAATAAGTAAAAATTATATTTATTTAATATGGTAAAAATAAGACTTTAGTGCAAATGTAATAAAAATAAATATTACTATTTTCAGCCTGACAGTCCATATCAAGGAGGAGTATTTTTCCTTACAATTCACTTCCCCACAGATTACCCATTCAAACCACCTAAGGTATGTAAATTAAATAAACAATAACGTTATATAATATAGTAGTGTGTAAACAGCATATTAATTCAATGCATGTTTGTACAGGTTGCTTTTACAACTAGAATTTATCATCCAAATATTAACAGTAATGGAAGTATTTGTTTGGATATTTTAAGATCGCAATGGTCCCCAGCACTCACCATATCAAAGGGTACATAAATTTACAAATATAATTTAAGAAAACAAAAAGAAGAATGAAGTCTATTGGTTAACAATGCAGTCTTGCTTTTGTTTGTTATTTTAATCCAGGAAACTTCTTAATTTTTTAGTGTTACTATCAATATGCTCTTTGCTCTGCGATCCAAATCCAGATGATCCTCTGGTACCAGAGATAGCAAGGTTATACAAAACTGACAGGGAGAAGTACAATGAATTGGCACGTGAATGGACGCGCAAGTATGCCATGTGATGCGCCAACCTCCGTTGACTTCAACATCTAAAAACCACCAACAAGCAGCCCCAGCCTATTGCCACTTATGCATCAGCACCGATTGAAATTAGTTATGGCTCGTCTACTTTTAAACTTAAGCCAGCACTCGGGCTCGAAGAGTGCTCAGACAAACGTGGTCGATCTGAAATCCCCTTCGTCCTGAGAGGCCTGCGAATATTGAGACGTTGCCACAATGGCAATTGAGGCAATTTTAAAGGTGGTCACATAACATTATATATATAAATCAGGAAAAAAAAAGAAATATGTCCGCTTTGATTTTCATAAATAAAAATGGAAGTAAAATATAGGAGAGTGAAAGTAGGATTTGTATTTGAATTTAATAGTTTAATTTCGAATTATTATGCTTATAATACCGTAATATTATGTACCTACTTTCTCAGTGAAATGAAAACCTTTGAACTGACAGCACACCAATTGTTAGTTTTAACGCAAGTGAGCAATGTTTGCCCGTCCCTTGGAACGATGCAGTCACTTTTTTGTAAGACTGGGCTATATATAAATACTACTGAAACTATACCTGTATGTTTTGTTCAATTATTAAAATTCCTCACCTATCTAACAAATTCTACGAGTAACTCGAAATTTGTGGTTTGGTTCCTGTGTGTGTGTAGTAGTTTAATTATGCATATCGTTAATCGATAAATCGGACTATACAACTTGAAATAATTAAAAATTGCAAGTAATAGACAATTTTTTTAGAGACTCATCTGACCTCCGCGACACAAGTGTCTACCGTTCATGGGTCTGTACGATACTAATACCAATCAAAGGCATTCACAATTTTTTATGGTGGGAGTTTAACGGTCTTTCGACTTTATTTACGTACTAGAAAATATGTAGTCATCGATGTCACTATTTATCGATAAATGATGGGAGCGAATTATATTTTGTTTGGATTCTTACATAAAACGCATTACGGAATAGATAAGAACTGTTTCAAGGAGCCCTAGAGCTTAACGGACGGATTTGTAAAATCCTCCGAATTCATTTTATATTAATGCGTCATATTACCAGCAAAGTCATGCGTCGTACCTTGCGAATTCGCAATTCGCCCGTCACTATATTTTACTCGAATCAATGCGTTTATTATTGTTTTACGTGTAAATTTTCTTCTTTAAGCGATAACTTTTTATTATTATTATTATTATTATTATTATTATTATTATTATTATATAGAATTTGTCTTAAGTTTCCTTTTCAACCACAATATAATTACGTACCTTCATTATTATTATCTTCATAAAGACCTCTACCACGCGAACAAACCTAACAGTTAACATAGATTTAGTGTGTCCGAGTATACCAAGATACGTTTTCAACGCTCTATTTTTCATATATTGTGGCTGTAAAGGATGGCAGTGAGGTTTCAAACTATTCTACCCAAATCTACCTAATACAATCTATACAAGATGGAATGGTACATTGTCAACATTGGCAATGTATCGTTCATTAGTTAGTTCGTTTAAAATAATCTAACGATGATGCACCATCCGTTGTTCGGTGCTAGCAGTGTTTCGGCTTCTAAATTTAGATAATAAATAAAATTCGAAGCATTGTAACGATGGTCACTTAATTAGAGAGTAAGCAAACAAAAAAGTCATTCTGTCTTGCGAGCGATGAGAAGTGCGTTAACGAACAACTCCTGAAATGTAATCGGTGCTTATTATGGCAATCTCACGGAGCGAGTAACGCAGCCTAGAAAAGACAAATTGATTAGTATGTAATACGACGTATCATCTGTTAATGTCGATTTTGTCTCATACGAACCTGTATCGCTGTAATTTAATTACGAAGTAAACGCGCGGCAAAACAGATATTCAAACGTTTGCCACAGAAAAAATTGGTCATCGTTCACTTCTATTAGAAGGAAACTACTCATGTGTAATTAATTATTAATATCGCAATAATGAACATTTTTAATAACGTATCTTGTGTACATTTTAGCATTAGCCCTTTATACATATAATAAACTCCACGTGACGATAACCCATGCTCACTCTAATCACTTGTAACCACGATCATTAGTTAAAAAACACGAATTTTTATACGAACAATTCATTTTACATTTGTTACATTCTATTCAGACTTGATTGTTACTCTAATTTCAGTTTTATTTTTTTCTACATAAATATTGAAAGTGTGACCGTGACCTTCTGAATGTAAAAGTGGTAATTCAAGCTATCAAAGCATGGTTTTCAATGCCAATAGAATTTTTCTAAGTACTGTAAGTATCTATAACCAGATTCTTAATTATTTAAATTCTGGAGCGGAAAAAACTTGGATAGCATACTATCCTATAGGAGCATTACTAGTGCTGCAATAGATTACTAAAGATTCATGAGTATGGATCTTCTATATTCAACAAACTATGTAATCAAAGAAAGAAATTTCTTGTGACAGGTGCTTAACGTATTAGCCTGTGTGAGCACACATATTTCTTGGACTTTCACGAAGGACGAAAGACTATAATATTCTACGTAGAATCTTGTGTTAAGTTACAAAACATCGGTGAAAGTGGCGATGCTTTTCTTCCTTTGCTCTGACTGCTCTTGACCGTTGTATTTTACTAAGTTTATTAACACTGCATACGTATAAACCTGCTCCAGCATCGCGGTTAGCGATAGACTTAAACGTACTTTCAATTGATCAAATAATTTGATTCAAATTCATCTACTTCTCCCAATTCACTCATATTGCATATTTTTTTTATTAACATTTTAATAATTCACTACTATAATTTAGTTAGTCACTACTTTCGATAAATTTGATATAAATTGAATATCAAATATGAGTGTGTTATGAAAATTATATTACCGTTGGTAGTACTGGCTGTTAATGTTAGTAACATTAATAATTAATACTATATATTGTTACTAATAATAGTATTAATATCGATGTCGCTAATAATAGGAACAGAGTAAACAGATAGTTGCTTAAACAGACGTTGATTGACAGCTAACTAAATTTAAATACATATATGATGCTTACAATATTTAAGTATTAAGTATAACAAATATTTAAATACATTTAATATCGTTTCGTACTTAGTTCAAATGACAATTGTGTTTTTTATGAATATCGATCGCAAATGTAAGAATTAACGCATTAAATGTTATTTTTAATACCTGTTTACAAGTAATAAAAACTTAAAGTAATAATGGGGTCGAATAATGATTCAAATATGAAATCGTTGCAGATTTTGTGTGAACTTTTCTCGAAAACTATTGTTTGCACCTATTAAAATTAACACTTTTCTTTGCTAACGAACCGTTAATATTTAAGGAATATTTTATGAAATCTCGAGAGATGTACATATTTTCGTTATCTGGTCCATGATATATGTGTACAAAAAAAAGGAACACTAGTATGAATGGAGGTCATCAATGACGGTCCAACCCACTTACAGAAATCCGTTCCGAAATGAATGACCTGCATCTTGCCCGATTATAATGATCTCTTAATCGCAGAAATTATAATTTGTAATTAAGACTCAAATTATTACCCAGTTTCAGACACAGCACAATAAAAACTATTTTTTAAATTTTTATAGCAGCGGTAGAACGTGTGATTACCTAGATTGCCCTCTTTTATCTGCAATTTTATAATGAAAGCAGTAGAAAGTTCGTATCATCTGCGTAACTATCAACGTATCATAGCGATGTAATTCATATCCGGTTTTCAGAAATATTTCTTAAATGCTCCGTTAAAACAAAGTCGTTGTTGATTAGTTATTATATACTACACAACATGTAGCTTGCAATTATTTTTTTATGTGAATAAAAAGTGACTAACAATATAATTTTTCTGTTCTGATCAATTCTGTTCAAAGAATTTATTGTATATTTATCGTTCCAATGAAATTTGATCACTTAATTTTGTGGTGAATTTTTATTTTTGTATGTACTAGTTTATATCCTACAGCACATCGGAGCACCTTTTATGGCTATTATTTACACTTCTGTGTTATATATTTTTGTGAATATATCCTTTTTTTTATCGATATTGAGATATTTAATTAAACTTTTGGTATTATATATAAGAAAATTATGTTACATTATAATGTTTAACATATAGGATTAAAAATTATCAGTGATGTGAGATTACAACTAGACGAAGCTTTGTTTTAATATCACATATCACATGCAATTACGAGTTCCAATGGTTCATAATACTTCGATCTAGTGTACGTTACATGTTATACTCTTATTATGTGTAACTTTAGTTATGTTCAACTTCTATTCAAAATGAAGTAACTTTAAATATTGTTTAAAATGTAGTAAGTGTTATAATATGTAACGAATAAGTGAAAGATGTTAATGTAACCTATAAGATGATAAGGTAAATGAATAATATAAAGGGAGTCATTAATAATGTTTATGTTATTCTAAATTGTTGTAGAGATCTAAGGATTTTAATTCAGAAGACTATGAAAATGTTTTAGCTTCAGTCAAAGCACAAGCAAACAAGTATGAAGAAGAAAAACAAGATCGATATAAAGAAACTAATGATAGAATGAAGTTCAACAAATTTAATGAGTTATTGGTACCACTAAAATAAAAAATTTGACTCAGGTTGATCCATAATATTAAAACTTGATAGTCACGACTATCAACTTGATACTATTAAAACAAAAATCCAAAGGAAAAAAAGTGTAAAAATCATTTCGAATAGCAATACAATTAATTTCATAATTAAAAGTTTAATTTTTGAAAGCATCTTTTCTAAAAAAAAACGAGTTTCTAACAGGAGGTATTTTCAGATTTATTTATACTCTTCCGTACCCTTCATTTTGGCTTACCGAATGTAATGCAGGTTGTTGATTTAGTGATTATTAAGTATCTTTCATGATTCGTACCTTTTTTATTATAAC